TGTCAAAACATTGCAAATACTGCCTGGGGTGTATCCGTGTCATATGGGTGGGTGGTGGAAAATTGGACAATATCGTTCGGGCATTGGTGACACCCTTATCTAACTCGCATCCTCGGGTCCTGCGACCAACATGTCACCCCACTAATGTAAACAATTTCTGGATAAGATTCCATATTGTCCTTGTAATGCTGCTGTAATTGTTATATCTACCGTGAGGGACTGGGTATCAGGTTTGCTTTCATCTCAAACAAACGTGATTTAAAAATCCAACAGTAGCCTTTACGGCTTATTTTGACATTTCATTTACTATTTTTCTGACAGATCTACTCGTCTTTTAAAGCCCCAGTCTTCAAGAATCAAAATTATATCAGCGATGTATTTATTAATGTTCTTTCCTCTTTGTATTCGAATTCTATGAAGACTAAATTACAAAACATAACTTCCGGAAACTTTTAGTTAGTTTGCAAGAAGCGCACACCTGGACGGATATTCATCTCTCTATAGTTTACTTTCCTCGACAGACTCCATCAGTCACCGTTTTTGTTGGAGTGACCACTCTATTTAACGTGAATTTAAGGAAGATTTATGCTGAAAAGGCGCGATGTTTACGGAGTTTAAATTAATCAAAATGTACTTGACAACCATGGAAATAAATATTGCTCTTCTTATTAAAGAGTACTCAAATCTCTCTCTCTCTCTCTCTCTCTCTCTCTCTCGTATTTGTGAACTTATTTTGGTCCAATCCTAATTATTCAATTCAATAAATGAAATATGATGGATTTATTATTTTTAAAAACAGGAGAATTTTTAATAAGAAGAAAGATTTTAAGTGTAAACTAGGTACCATGATTATGGTTATCATGGTCATTATGTGCCTGTCTATCACGTTTTCTGTGAAATCATATACTACGAGGATTTTCCCTACACCACTGAGCGAGATTTGCGGAACATTACAAAGTCATCAGTGAGAGGGCCCTCTGTGAACAGGCGGGAGAGAATAGCGGGGCACCACGGGAGCTCCTCACGTACCCCGAGTCTGCTTAGGTGTCGGAACCTGGGCGGGGGAACAAGTTTACAATCATGTCCGCAATCAGGGAGAACAAAGGGAGATTACACAAAGCAAAACTGTAGCTGGAATAGTTAGGGGGTTTTATCGCCAAGGTGGCACTTTGTTTCGCATAGGGTAGTGATGTAACGGGCCAAAGTCGGCATTTCTTTCTAGTTATTGTGAAAATTGATCTATCATTCTCACCTATTCTAGGTCCCGTGAATGAGTTTTACGTAATACAAAAGGCATCTGTTAACCATATACTTTTGGGGAAAATCTTTCATTGCCTTCGAATGTAAATCTGCTTGAAAAATAATATCATAGGTGATACTTTAAATGGTTGCATGTTTTTTATTTCATTTTTTTTTTAATTTAAATTATTCATTTAATTTTTAGGCGCTTTTTCGTATGTTGAATCTCTATTTACACAAGCAAATTAGTTTTAGTGAAAAAACTCTTATCCACAAAAATCCAAGTTCAAAAGGTTGGTCACTTTGAGGTACTATACCGTACCAAATGGACAAACAGTAATTAGATGACCAAAGAGGCTTATTGGACGTGTAATGTTTCGTTTTATTTAGATAAGGAATGGAGAATAAAGGATCTACTATCTTAAATCACTATCCGGTCAAAACACACTTAGATATATATGTTTGTGTACAAGTAATCCAGATAAATTAAAGAGCTGAGGATGAAAAATTACTCACCAAGACTTCATAGGTTTTCTTTGAGAGAGAGAGAGAGTAAATAAACTCTATCAGTCAGTTCTAAAGGGGGATGCGGGATAACCAGTTAGACTTGGTACAAATGAAAGAAAAATTATGATTTATAAATTATAATGAAAGAAAAAATCCATGCTTAAAAAAAATGAAAAGTGATTCTAGTGTTTTATAAAGCTTCACATTTTTTACAGTAAGTTAAAAATTATTCCTTTTTAGTTTTTTTTTTAATTCAAGAGGAATCTGTTTATGCCATTTGCCATGAACCTAAATTTGAAATAAATAAATGTATGGTCGTGGGTATTTGTAATGTCGGATGCAACTCCTACCATCAAATCCGCCTGAAGAGGGATCGGATGTTATATATATAATATTTTAAACTGATATTTCATGTGTATTCATTTATTTTTTATTATTAATTAAAGTGAGGGTGTTAATTCGTAGGAAGATGGCCTGGAGAGCGTGGATATAGTATCCTGTAGAAAACAAAGATACTTACATATGATGACTCCTACCTCTTTTTTGTTTGTTTGTTTTTTGTTTTGTTTTGTTTTTTTGGTTTTTTTTTTGGTTTGTTTGTTTGGTTTTTTTTTTTTTTTTGTTTGTTTGTTTGTTTTTTTTGTTTTGTTTTTTGTTTGTTTGTTTTGTTTTGTTTTTGTTTGTTTGTTTGGTTTTTTTTTTGTTTTGTTTTTGGCTTGTTAGTGCCCCCTCCCCAAAACTGAAAATGTTTGGTTGTAGTCTATGAGACTGCCTTAAGCACAAAATTTCTTTACGATTTCAGATAAAGAAAGGCAATTAAAGAATATAAAAGGTGACATAAAGAAAATTTAATAGAGACAAAACCCCATTATCTTGAGATTCGCTGTGGATTAACATGCAACGAAAGCAATCTTTTGATTTTAATTCATTAATTTCAAGAAATGATTATTTTGGCTCAGTTTATCAACGGCGCATCTGTGCATCTGTTTGCGCAAGCAGCTTGAAAGGACGTTATCAAGGAGAGGTGAAAACAAGCTTTAAACTGACGTGAAATTAACACACGCAGAGGCATTTACTACAAATTGTTTCCCCTTCAGTAACTTGTTTCTTTGATTATCGGAAATAAACCCAAATTAACCGTAAGGAAAAGGTGGCGCTTCGAATTGTCTGTCTGCTTCTGTTTGATCTTTGGGCCATGGTAGAAGTTAGCTAATTCAACCTCAAAGATACTAGCGCTTGATTGCACAATAAAAATCCAATTACAAATCATTACATGGTGATTTTATCGATTTAGAAATTAGTTGTGACTTAATTGGATAGCCTCGCCGACAAAAGCCGGAATGTGCCGAAACTGTTACTTCTCAACGGGAGATAATTCTGTCGTACCGTCCCCAGGGATTGCCACATTTTAGCATTTGGCGGGAAAGGGAAATTTTTACATTCTTCCAGTCCTTAAGTAAAAAAGAAAACCATCTTCTTATAAAATTTGGAAGTTGGGTCATTCCAAAATGACCTCCCAGAATTTATCATCTTTTGAGCCATTAAGTGCTTAATTTTGGAGCCGGTGGTAGCGTCCCACAACACAGTTTAATACCTCTTCATTCCGAGGATTACTTTTGTTAAATATCTGTCTTTAAATAGATCTTATTTGACTTATCCCTATGATGAAAGGAATAAACAAACATGTGTAGCGCGTTTATCTTTTCATAACAAAATATTTGGACATCTGATTTATGATAAGCATTTATCATAATCCTCTTTTGGTAATCTGCAGAAGTTTTTAAAAGATGCCGAAACTTTTTCTATCTTTTCGTGATTTTATCTGTCTACTTTGGTGGAGATTTTTAAGTAATTATACATCGATATTTCATGCAGATTACTTGATAACGGTTTCGCAAAGATTTTGATTTATTTGAATGAAGTCGACATAGCTTATTGAAATTTTTTTAAAAAGTTGAAATGATTTTTCATGTTTGAAAAAAATTATTTAATTTTATTAGGCTTACTATTGTGCTAATGATAATAAATGAAATGATGCAATATGCTGATTTGGTAAGGTTAACTATGTCGAAATGTCGGGAATGTTATAATCCTTTTGACCAGTTAGATACTCCTTATATATAGTGGAGATACTGTTCAGAAACACCATACCGTTACTTCAAACAGTTCATTAGCATCCTGGTTTGTGGTCAAAGCTCGTAATGTGCATTTAATTAGTGGATTATGTATACTAATTACCATTTATGAAGACATGGCCCAGTTCCATCATCTACTAAGGTACCGCACGGATAAATGTTCAACGATATCAAGTTTCACGATACTGGTTTGAGGCGATCTAAAGGGCAGCATAAAATATTGGCCCCGTTGCCTAATCTTCGCGAGCATATTGAATATAACTGACATTTATGTTTCTTGTTTGTTGTTGTTTTTGTGATGTCATTTTTTTTTCATCTCCGATAATATTTCATTTGACAATTATAGATTTTCAAGCATAAGTTCTTTGTTTGAGTGGTTTATGTCAGATTACACTGTCATCTGTTGGACTAAATACACACCAAAAATGTTGAAATTGAATTAAAGTGCGTGTGCACAACCTGGTTAAATATTTATACTGGCCAGACGAACTGTGACCTAACCCATAACACCAAACATCTGTTGAATATACACGAAATCAAACAGAATCTGGAATATTAATCCTCAGAAGTGTCGAGTGAACATTCCAATTCAATGAACAAAGTGGAGGACTGACAAATCTGAACAGTAAACAACCAATACTCTATTTTCTGTAAATATTTTTAAAAAAAAAATGAAGGGAGGGGTGTTAAAATAATTTCCATTTCCAAAAAGTATAATGAACAAAAATGGTCTTATCTCCCTTTGAATGCAGTAAAGTATTGGCTAGGAAGTTTCGCCTCAGTAAACATTGGAGCAAGTGCCAACACGCCAGGCTCGTGTCTATTTTTAGATATTCAATAAACCATAACTGACTTTTCCATGTTTACTACGTTAACCATGTTAACTGCAGCTTTAAGAAAAGCTTGCTATTACCAGGTTTTTAAAATACACTATTAAGATTTCCACTATTTACCCATTGCTATGTACATTTTTTTATTAAATGTGAGGAATCGTAACATTTGTAGTTTATACTATAACATGCATATTGATTATTATGTACGTCGACGTCACGTGATGATATGAAAGCTAACCCCGCCCAACTGCGCAACGATTGGCTGCCATGATCAAGATTACCGTAGCGTGTTCTGACTTGCTATTACTCTAGTGTTATTATTCGGATCGAGAGCACGTTAGTTTCAGTATGCTAGACGGAGCTAGTGGTACAGTGAAAACAGTAAATATGGTCGAAATAAAACCTAAACCGAAGTGTTGCCGGAATTTATTTGGTTCTCCGAGTGTAATGGAGAGGGAATACATGACCAAAATTTATAAAGAATGTTTAAATGAGGACTTAAAAGTAGCAAAAGAAAAGTACGATTTTGACATTTGTAAGGACACTCCACTATCAGATAGGTGGGAACTTACAACTACGGCCCCTGAATTTTACACAAGGATATACACATCAAAACAGGAGCGACTTCATCCACTGAAGAGGAAAATGGAATTGGAAAATGATACAGAGAAAAGTGAAACGGAATCAACGTGCAATAACACACCCCCTGTTCTGAAACAGACAAAGATGCCAAGTAAGTAAAATTTCTGGGACCTTCAACGTACTATTTTGAGAGAGAATAGGTTGATTTTGCGATATTTTTGTAATTCGTTCCGTTTATGTGACTCGCGTTTTCTGTCTCCTTTCACATGAGGAACTTGGTACGGCATGTGTTTCCGCATGACAACCGATAATCTACGCATTTCTTATCATATCCCCTAAACTGCAATGTTTATTGATTAGGATGAATTTAAGTTAACATAAACAACGCAGTTGGAAAGGTGTTTTGTCAAATCTAGGTCAAACCAACAAACTCTGCACTTGATACAAATACTACGATCTGCTTGGCAGTTGTAATTTTGACATTGCCGCGGATGTGTGTGCGTACGGGGATGAGTCACGAATTCTCACAATCAGTACGAGTAGCTGATGGGGAAATTGTTTAATTTGTAGACCTGTAAATGGAAACACCATGTGTATTTCTGGCTATTTAAAAACCAACGTGTTGGTTCGGATCTTTAAACTTAGTGCGGGAATGTTTTGAAACTAGTTTTAGGTCGCGCGATTGGACGCGAGGTTGATCGTGCACGGACGTGTCACCATTGCTGTATGTCGATTCGCCTTGACGAGATGCCAACTTTTCCGTTAACCCTGGTTCATTCATGATCTCCCTGTGCAAGTTTATACAAAGCTGTTCATTGTTTCGCTTTTGCGCGGTGTATCCAATACTTAAACTTTACTATTTATGTCGTCGTTAGCTATGTTGTATCAATCATGTCACCCCATGCCGAGCTGGACGGGTAATAGTGGTTGACACGTGCTGTTATATATACACACAGGCCGTAATAATCAAGTAGCAATATTTCATGACATAATACAAGAAATTGACAATCAAGACCGTTAATCTGTTTACACTCTATATTTGTTTCCCAATTATAATTTATGTAATGAGTTGTTGACAGATAAGTTTTCCTTTGTTCACAAGAACTAAACATATGTTTATAACATAATTACACTTATATATGGACTTATATATATACTTGAAATTTATGTCCATTGTACTGTAAATGAAACATATATAAATATCTTTGTGAGGAATATTAATGATTTTTATAAAGTGAGATAAAATTTTAATTAAATCTTTTTTCTATTTTCTGCAGATTTTATGAAAAAGAGAAAGAGGGCCGATCTATCCCCATCAGCGACAGTGACCAAACAACTGCGGCTGTAGCCCCTTAATGTAAAGGGCTTCTAAATGTAAGTTAATTATTCATGTATATCCTGCACAAAAATCAATGCCTGCCTTCGGATTTCTTTGTAATATTTGACGTAATGATGAAGAAAGGTAAGGGAATCACTATGGAATCCGAAAACAAATATAGATTCTATAAATAGTATAAACCCACACAACATACGATGGTTTAAGCTAATATCTGGAGACATGCCCAATAAAATCTGGAGAAGAATCAAAATAGGGTTTTGATTTTGTTTACGTTTTCATTTGCACTTGTCTGCTAAACATGACACGAAATTTCGAACAGTGATATCAACAAGATATACCAAGTTTTAAAAAAAATACTTATTTAGGTGTAAAACAATCAGACTTTGATTCATCTGAACGCGGAAGAAATAATATGGGCATATTTTTAAAACCTTTCAGTACATATATAGACGTGTTATGTGAAGTAATCGTATTATTGGAAAGTCACACAGCTAGGGGGAAATAGGGAAAGATTACATCGCGATAAAGATCAGCTGGTGCCATCAATTGAATAGAGTAATGTAATAGTGCAACAGCTACGACCACGAAAAAAGTCAAACTAGTGCACGACCAGCAGAAAAAAACCTTGCGGTGATTGCACGTTTTAAAAATTTGGAGATTTAAATTTAGTGAAGAAATGCCACATGGCCGACACTCGAGTCAGAATGGGGTCATTCAGAATTTTACAAGCAGGCATCTCGTAGTACGCCGTAGTAGTTAACACAAGGTGTTTCGCGCTCCGCCGGAGAAAAGGCCTGGGAAACGCACGTACATTTGCATAAAGCCCGATTCCTTATGCAGCTTTTTGTAGGTCATAACTGTCAGTTTATCTTACCGCGGTGCCTTATGGGATACGTAGCTCTAGGTCGTCTTACGCTTATTATCTTGTATGCAAATGAAGTCAATTTCACCTTTAACACCAATTTTAGAAAGAAAAATGTTTTAATTTTGAGTTTTGGCTACACATTGATAAGAAATTAAAACATCCCTGTGTCATACAAGGTAACAAATCATGTGACATTTCCTCATTTATAACTGTCAACTTTTAACCATATGTTGACGAAGGCGTAGGGTATTTTAAGGTTGTACGAAGTGATGCCAACGACCTTGCCAAACAATTTCATAGTAAACACTTGATAACGTTAATGTTCTTTTGGGGCATGTAGCTAATTGGTTTCAGAGCGTCAATAGCTCATTATTTTGTCAGATTACCAAACACGATGTTAAAGTTGTATTTTACTGATGGATCTCTTTTTTTAACAGGATTATAGTGCTAGAAACAGGGATCTACAATGGAGGGCCCGATCTTCAAAATAAAGCAGTGAGCATTCCATGCAGGACTATTTTGCCAAAGAGCGCCCTATTCTTGCCAAAATTCCCGAGACCTACGCTAATTACAGTTTATTTGGACTTAATGTGTATGGGATGAAAAAAGAAATCCTGCAAAGCTTTCTTGCAGTTACCATTGTGAGCCCTGTTTCCTTTTCGATATTAAAAGCGAAACATGCCCCTTTTGCACAATTTGTGACTTCGCCTGTGTAAATGTGTACACGGCTTCATATTGAGGACTTGTGGACAGTGCAAGGGCAGACTTTATATATAAATGTGCAATTGACAACCGGACAATGACAGTGTCATTGCTAGCAGTATGATCTCATCAATTATTTATATAATTTTTTATTATTTGTCAATTCTTATAAAGAAAACAAATCCCTATTTGTAATTGTGCTATTTATTTGTAAAAAGATAATTAACAGAACTACATCTTTGAGAGAAAAAAAAGTTTCACGAAAAAGTGGAACATATCTTCATAGATATATATTATTTATAAATATATATTCAGATATTTTAATACAGAACATTTGACACGTTTCTGCCATATTTATTATTGTTTTGTGGTATGAAATACCAGAGGATGGAAAATATTGAAAGAGAAAAAAAAATGAAAAGACTGAAAGAAAAAAAAAGTTTCTCTCAACCTTAGACTTTCTGTACATCGCACAAATTTGTCAAGAAAATCCATAAAGAAAAAATGATCTCAAATTTCTCTTGTTTTTGATAACTCTTTTTACGACTTAACATCCAAAGTGTTCATTTTTGTGTATGTGTGAAGATATTTGGTGTTCGCTGTTTGAATGTTATGTAGTAAACGTTTGTATGCTTTCATCATATTTGGTGTTCCTCAAAACAAAAGTCAGAAAAGTTGTTGAGAAACTTATTGTTGTAAAAAATAAAAGATATAAAGAACATAAAATTTTTATTGTATTTCTTGAAAGAATTGCGTCTTTTAATTCATGTATCGGAAGAGAGAGAAGAACATGTTTGAAGTTGTAGTATTTGTTGTTCAACACACAGCTCCTACAATATGTTACATGAAGGAGATAGACGTTAAAAAGCGCAGGGATACGAGGAAAAAAATAAGCCAACCATTGTTTTCACTTTAAATATCTGTACTGGCTGTTGATGAATGCGTCAAAAGAAATCGATACGTAACAGCTGTTTGCGATTGAAAATTTGCTATGTGTATGTGAAAAGGAACAAAAAAAAAAAAATGCATGAGAAAAATACACGGAAACCTTGACTTTAGAGTGTGGGCTCTTATAGATGCTTATTCAGGGGGATGCATCAGTTAAAAATTACAAACCACAGCCCTTTGAATAAAGAGGGGGGGCATAGGAACTCAAGTGCATGGGTAGTGCTTATACTTATACTAGAATCTATTTTAAAGGAAGCAAAGAATTCAACTTTCCCGTGCGAAGCACTGTCTTGTTTGAGAGTCGGTGTCACTCTGTGCATCAGACAAAAATAAACACACACAGGGAATATTTTGATATTCTCCTGTATTTCCACATTTACTTACACCGGATACAGAGTTGTCACAACTTGGTGGATATTAACGGGAAGAAAAACAGATAGGATAGATAGATCCTGTACCTGTCTTCTAAATTCTATAACAACCAAGACCTCGGAGTACATACATGTATGTTCTGGTGCAGTTTTCCTAATCCGTTACCACTAATGCGTATGTGTAATTTTATTTTGAATGTTGGTAAACAACCCCCCCCCCCCATAATTTTATTTGAAATAGGTGCATTAGAATTTATCGAGAAGTAGTGTTCATTAATTTCAGAAATAATATGTTAGGAAATGTTCTTTCTTTAGATCGCATGTATTTCGTCCACAGTTGGACTTTATGTCTGGTTCTTTCCCTTGACCAGACTTAAATATTTGCATTTGCCCCTGGGCAGCACTCCCCAGAGAAACCACAAGGCGGCTAGTATTTACTGTTTTAATGATGCACACGTGCGCAGTAGACATAGGCACACGCCATCTCTATCTCCTAAATCAACATGAAACTCTCTGGTTGTGCCAATCTCTCTGAAGAATAAGCAAAAACAAGAAAATTCCGAAAGATGTTCCAGCCCCTGTCAGCAACAAAGAACTCAAATTAGTCGCCATGGCAACTGGCGGATAGAATTATTTTTGCGCGAGCTTCGGAGATGATTCATGAGATGCCTTATTCCTCAAAGATAACGATTATGATTTTATGGGGGTTTTTTGGTTCCAAATCGCTTTAACGCCTTTACTCACAAAATCCGCTTTCCCTGTCCTTCCTCAAATATAAGGAAACCAAACTCTGCTTTGTAACATATACCTTTCAAATTAATACCAAAGTAAGATGAAAAAAGATATGATGAGGTGAAGAAACAGTAGTTTCTTTATTTTAGAAGAAAAAAAGAAGCTTGTTGCAAAGCACTTAGCGAAGGTATTAAGACGGAACATCTGGAGGCCTTTGTAACAAACCACTTGAGATCAGATTTTGCACAAGAACGTAAGGGGCCCTTGTTGACAGCAGTCAAAAACTACAAGATATCTCCAGGATCTTCCTCTCCGTTCGTCCCCCCTTGGGTCAGATTACGGGGATGTATTGTGAGGGGTAGATTGGAATCAAACTTTTAACCCTTTTATCTTGTTATGTAAGAAACCACATTGTTTGTTTGTCTGGTTGAGGTAAAAGAGAAAAGTAACATGGGTTAGCTTATCAGGCGGCATCGCAAAATAAGTTTCTGAGCAAGTAGCGAGTACCACCAATACGATTTGCTTACAGCCCTATTCATTAATAGAGCCTCAGCTAAATGTAATCAACAAAATTGTAATTAAAATGCTACTCTTTAATATGATTGCAAGGGTCAGGCACCCGTGCTGATTGCATTCTCAATTGATTTTTTCCATTAACCTGAGTCATGCTGACAAAATGAAAATAGAAAAAAATATGAAATTAGAAAAAAAAATTCCGTTCTCCAGTTATAGAAGAGAATTAAATAATCAATCGTAAACAATGGTCCGCTGCCGATTCTTCTATAACCCGAATCTACTCTTTCGTTAACGGAGTCTATTCCGGTAAACTGACATAAGTTTACAACTTAAGTACACTTAAACCAATATTATAATGCTGGGAGGCGAAAGACCATCGACCTACGTGTCGTTTGATGGAGGGCACGGGATAACATTTTATGTTCTGAAATCTTGATTATTCAATTTTCATGTAATTTTTACTGCCGCTCGTTATCTTAATGGAAAATCGTATCTAAGGCCTAACTAGACATACAGCTCCCGAAAATCGTGAAGTCGAGTCAATGGCCGGTAGCCATATCATACTGTTGGCCATATTACAATTTCTCCTAGTCTTAATTGAAATCAACAGGGATGCTTATTTATCACGAGTCTTTCATGTCTTGTGGGGATAATTTGTCAAATAAGTATAAAACATAGGTCGATGACACGAGATTTAATTGAAAAGTCTATGCTGTATTTAACTACAGAAGAGTGAATTTTACAAAGGGGGATTACAACATGTTGCAGAAAAATACCTTTACAGGTACTTAAGATCATTAAATTCTAAGCTAGATTCAACAGCTGAGACCTCCTCCCCATACAAGTGGTCCGACCCCTGAATAATGCATATATCGAACTGTGCAGAATATAGCAATCAACTTGCTTGCAAGAAACTAATAATTAATAGTGGATAAATTATGCTAGAAAGAAAATTTGTTTCTGATGAAGTTCATTTCTTCGTCATTTTCTTACCGGACGTCAACCTTAGCCACGCGGTCGCCATGTCAACGCTCGCGGATCCGCGAGATTTTGACGCAGAGCATTCATGTGCCCACGATTACTTTGCCAGATTGAGATATTCAGTAATCAGTTCCGATAGTGCCTTCTAGGCATGGGGTACCCAATCATCATGTAATTTTAATAAACATGATCAACGACTTGTATCACAGAAAGTTTATGGTTTAAGTCAGTCTTCACGGAGAAATCTCTCATTTGTTTCAATACAAGTAGGGAGGGTAATTTGGTGACAAAAGTTAATGGCAGGGTCCTCGACCTCCCTTCATAATGATGCTAGCTGTTAGCAAAATTTTACAATTTCTAAGCAGACATTTGGTCTGGTTCACCGCTTAGATGACTTTTCGGTGGATTTGATTTTTTTTTTACACTGCACCGTATTAATAATGCATTTCTGTCATTTATCGCTAATTAGGAGATACACAGTGACGGTGACAGATGTTACGTAATTGCTGCTTGTATACAGAGCCCGACCCGTGTCAGCCTCTTGAGTTGCCGGCTTCAGTGATTGTTCTCTGTTCAAGTATTTTAAATCTGCTTTTAATGCCGTATAGAGCTCTTGTTTAAAAAGTTCTATACGGATTTAATGGCAGTTTTCAGGATTTTCATAACTCTTTGACAATGTATGAAGAAAAGATATTCCTTTGATTAACTTTGCAACAAAAAAAAGTATTTTTGCAGATTGCAAAAGTTTATTCACCCTAATTTTGCCTAGGTGTTTAACCCCCCTAAAAAAGTTTAAAATCTTAATTCACATGTATTAAGAAAGCAAAATACATGTATAAGTCCCTGCAACTGACGAAATTAGAAGTAAAAAGGATACTTTCGTAGAATGGAGCAGGTCTTAATGTTTGGTAATTATTTTATTTTTGAATAATTAATATCTGCAATTTCTCAAAATTATTTTAGATTATTTTCAACAATTTCTTGATCAGTATGCACAGCAGTCCTTTAAAGGTTTTAGAAGTGGGAACACAAATACCAAAAACAGTGTAACCTTTATATTTCCTCTACTGCTGAAATCTGGAAGACAGCCTGTGCCTAATTTTAAAATATAAAGAACACCGTGCCTTCCATAAATTTTATGAAATGTTATACTTTCATGTAAAGTACTTGAATTTGATTTGTCAAGAAACATTTGTTAAAAAAAAAAACACTGTTAGCCTCTGAGTGATGAAACCACGCCCTCAGCGCTATAGAACATAGCAACAGTCAACATTGCTTAACGACGGGTGGTATTCAAAAATAAAATAAAAAAAAAAAACATTGACTGCGCTGAATCTATGCGCGCACACTTCACCTTTATTTGTATTTTTATAAAACATTCCGTATAATATAAATCAAATACTGCATGTAGTTAAAAGTAACATTGAAAATTTTCACCCCAAGAAAACCATTGTCAACCGAGGTGCAGCCGATTTAGATAATACAGGTCACATTGATATGTTGTTAAATAAGATCAAGATTGTAAAAAAAAAAAGTTTACAATACTTGTACACACTAAGTACTACCTCATTTTACATCATAATATTTCTATATAATAAATGAATGTGATTTGAAAATATATACAAAGCGCCCTACAAAGGGTTGGAAGAGTGCCATATTATTATACATTCTTGATCGTAAAACTATATGCATTTCGAGGAAGTAGAGTATTGTAAAAAGTAAATAAATAAAAACAGGAAGTGGCATACTCGAAATTGGCAAGTTGCCAATTTGCTTTGACGTCTTGTGGACAATAGCGGAAGTTCGTGACATGTAACGAGGATATGAATTACCATTGAAACTAATGGCTGTTCAATAACCGTGTATTTGGAAGATGCAGAGTTCTCCACTCCTCTACAAAGACGTGTTCACTTTAACTTAAATCCTGGACCTGGGCCCTCGTGTTCTATCCTCCACGAGTCCACGTGTCAAATGCAGCATAAATTTTGATATTTACTCGGCATGACTTCATCCTATCTTTGACGTATCTTTTCCAAACGTCTTGTGCAATTTTAAGAACACCATAATACGTACAATATTTCTGTTGACACTCAGCCAATAGCTGTAGATTTTTATTCGACAAGAAATTAAAATCCGGAAATTGAAACACTTTACTGAATTATTCGATGTCGATAACGT